ACAGCAATCTCGCCTTTTACAGCGCAGCGCTGCCCGATTTATCGGGCATTCGAGCGCCGGTGTATATTATTGCCTCGGATATCGAAACGCGTGTCACGGATGAAAAGGAGCGGGACGAACAACGGGAAAAGCAAAAGTAAATAGCCTCCGTCGTGAATTACGAGTCAGAGAGCGATAGAGGACGCGCGCGGGATGATTAAACGGCCCGCGAAAATTATGACTGACTGTTTTCGACGGGGGAATCGATGAGTCTCGTCGCTGGGATCGATAACCGGTCGCGCGAGCCTCGTTTTCGATCTTCCTTTTCTGTTTCCTTTCTGCTCACTAGCTCGCTAACAATCTTCATAATTACAATACTTAATTAAACCCAACCAATCGAGTGTACACAATCGAAATGAAGTTTAACGAAATTCTTGTCTAGGTGTACACGTTACAATTTTAAATAAAATGAAATTAACACATTGCGTACCGGCTAATTATCAGAAAACAGCTCAAGTATCATATTGTTATGTAACAGATTTTAAATGGACAATTAATTCTAATCAAATTTAAGATTTCTTTAAATGCTGTGGTAATTAGCAAAGTTGTATAGCTAAGAGTCTTCATGTAAAAACGAGATTTCTCGTTACCAGTACTCAATGTGTTAACAATACAAATAAAAACAGAGTAATCTAATATTCTCCAAGATACAATTGTCAACTCTCATAATTGCTATATTAACTTTCCATTAATAATTTACCAAAAAGTAAGGAAACTTCCTAATTCGTCTATTATCCACTTCAGATGGCAATACTCGTGCTAAGAAATTGCTGAAATTGATATAAACATTGACACGGTGTTACTGTTCGTGTTCTTCGTGTGCCTTTTAATTATAACGCGCTAATGATGTAAACGAGTTAACCTTTTGCGGACTAATGTCGACATTTCGAGATAAAATGTTCAAATTTGGAAGACTAAGTCGTGGAAAAATGATCTAATTAGTCGAACAGTAAGAGATCAGCACGTAGTTCTCTTTCTTTCCATGAATTAAGTAATTGATATATAATTTAGCTTCGACTGTCGATGGTTTTGTATATTTCCGAGAATCTTCATCCGCAAAGGGTCAATTATCTGTTGTGCGAGAAGCGAAATTGAACGAAAGAGAAAAGATACTCCGTGAAAACAAAAGAAGCCCTCGTTTTCGATCTTGAGGAACGCTGTGCATGATGAATCCGCTGTCCATTCCCTTTCCGCTGACTGCACACGTCCGGGCGAGTCCCATTCGGAAACGGGGCTCGTCTAATTCCTTTGCAGCCAGACGCGGGGCTCCTTTTATTCAAGCTCGGACCGTACCCTGAATGTCTAATCAGCTTGGACCGCCGCGGCGCGCTTTTTTCCCCCAGAAATCAAAGCTTTTCGCATACCCTTTCATTCGAATGGCCGAAGGTAGCGATGAACGCGCGCATTCAACCCATCGGCCGAGCTTTCTTTTCTATGGACAGGTTTTTGCTGAACACGTTATCGCGATGTAGCGCTCGCGGAATTTGCCGGGATCGCGCGGGCGCGGTTCAAAGCTGCGTTTGTTGCTTGCGAAATCCATTGGTACCGTGGAATCTATTGTTTTTAGGTATTCAGAGGTGAACGGGCAGAGAATTGTGAAATTAGGTTTGAATTCTGATTTCGAACATTGAGTGTTAATTGTCTTTTGATATTATTTATGATTTAACTCTGGAATTATCGTTTTAAATAATTCAGAAGCACGTAAGAGAAATGTCGAAGTATTCTTAGAGTTACTGTCGACTCTAAACGTTGAATTTTAATTATGATTAATATTCAATATCATTCATCCCATTTAGAATTAATGGATCATTAACTTGTAATAATCTCATACTTCGCCATAGATCTGCCGTCCTAAAATATTCAGAAACACTAGAAAGGTGCCTCTCAGTCAACACTCGATTGCATTAAAATTGTAAAATTTCGTGTTAATAAAATTCCATTGTTCCCCTTATTTTGCGAATAGATTTCTAGAGTTAATTTAAGAAAATGTCATTTATATCTAGTAAAAATTGAATATTTCTAGTGGCAAATTTTTCGACTGCAAAGGGTTGATACAACCTCAACTCCAAACAACTTCACCCATAACCCATGAAAAACTGCGACGTTTGAACTGAAAAACAAGCGTTCGAACCATCTTCGAACCTTCTCACGCCGCGTTCCTTTCATCGCCGGCAAAAGGGTCCATCCGGCCGTGAAAATGGCTGTTTCCCGTGTACCAGGATCGGCCGATCGAGCGTTAAAGAAAACGTCGTCGGCGAGGAGTCGGTTTTCAACCGAAATTGCGCCCGGGCCGCGGGGGTGGCTCGTAATTCGCTCGGGAAAGGGGTTAAAGAGAAACCGTGCAGAAGCGGGTGAAGAAGGTTCGCGGCGGCGCGCTCGAGAACAGCAATTTGCCGCAATCCAATTCCGCCGGGAACAATAAATACGACCCCGTGAACCAGAGACACGGTTTCCGAGAAACCTTCTGGTCCCGATGTAAGGTCGGTTCGCACGCGATAATCGATCGGGCGCGCGCGAGCTGTCGCCGTGACCTCAGCTGGCAAACGACCGCCACATAAACCCGACAATTTCTGTCTCAATCGAACGCGGATGCCCTTTAAATATTTCAAACGCGCGTGCCGGTTTCACGCCACGGATCTCTACACGCGATGATCGCGTATGGGGCTGGGACATGTGGGACGGTGCTGGGAAATAGGATCGAATCGAACGAGACCTTCAGGGTGAACGAAGGCTTCGGGTATTTGGGAATTTGAGAATTTCGGTTTTCGTTTCGTTGGATTTTGGAGAATGTAGTTGGACTGTGACCTGAAGAGTGAATGATGATTGATTTCATTTGGAGGAAATAGGGAGCATTTTTTAAGTAGAAAACGCGAAAAGTTCTGTGAGTTAGGGGTTTGTTGAGGATATTTGATTTGTAGACGTTGGATTTTGGAAAGTGCAACAGTGGAGAATAGAATGTGAGAATTTGAGATGAAGTTTCTTATTAGAGCAATTCAATTCCAAGAGACAAGTTACTTCCGTATAAGTCATGATGTGAAGCTTGTAAGGTTAATAGAACATCCGGCACAATATCCATAGATCTCGAGAGATCGAAAAGGCCATTGGCAACGAAATTTTCGATAAAAGCCTCGCTAGACAGTCGAGTGTTCGATGGGTAAAAGAGAAATCCCTGGATCAGTATCTCCAGCTGGAGAATCTCCGGCAGTATCAAAAGGCTCGTTGTCTCGTGGAGCGCAAGACAAATTGACCTTCGACCTGGGTTCCTCCGAGGGAAGAGGGGTCAATCGCAGGGAAACGGAGACAAAAGAGGAGGAAAAAATACGCGGGGTCTCGATTCGCGCCGCGTCCCCGCAACCCTTTTGTCCGACGACGAGACGTGTCGAGGGTGCTTTATCGCGATTCGCTCGATATGCT